AGAGCGGGGGACCCCCACACATAGCACCCTAGAAACCGTTGCCCTGGTCCCTAGGAACCGCTTCAACACCGCTTTCGCTTCACCGGGGATGTTCGATTGACAATGTTAAATTAGAACTCCAAATCGAAGGGGCTTCCGTTCTGCTTCCTTTTCCCTTTACCAAAGCCCAACCAAAACCAAACGGGAGACAGCTGGGAAGTGGTGCAGTACTGAGAAACCAAAGCGGTCTGCTGAAGATGAAAGCAAACTGCACTTTGTCAAGTGTGGGGGTTCCCACCTGGAGCATCTGGGTATTGAAGGTATATAATATATAAGTATAGGTGCTGAAGATAGCAGCTACCTTTCGGTGGGCTTCTCTCCCGGCGCCATGTGCTGCGCCATGGGCCATGACTCAACTGGACCGTCCGGAACTCACCGAATTCACACGGCCGAGAGTCGGAGCCGCCGACTCTCGGCGCCGGAGTGCGTTCGCGCGATTCGAATTCATGAGTCCGTGGCCCGGATGAGGTGTGCAACAATTGGCTGAAGACCTGCCTCATCCTTTCATATCCTTTCATCCTTTAGTTCCGAAAACAAAAGACATGTTCATGTTCAACATCGCTCCACTCTTTCAAGAAGGCTTCCTGAAATATAATATAATGGTGAAGCCGGCAATCTACCCACATATCTCCACCCGGACCAAAACATGCAACGTGGCTCCTCTTTGAACCATCGTGAACCTCGTTGTTCTACGTTGGTACCTTAACACCTCCAAATTCTTCATCTGCCAAAGAGCCGTGATCATCCTCCCCACCAAGTCTCCTGCCCTTTCCAGCTCCCTTGTCTCCCTTGTAGGAGGTCATGGGACCAAGCAAGGCGTGAAGAATGTTTGAATGCTCTCTCGGCAAACAGATTGACTATAAAACATATATATATAAGCAATGTTTACAAAACATCCAAACTCCCAAGGTTCTAACCGAAAACAATATCAGAACTTCAGGTATAATAGTTAGTAATTAATACATTGCATGACAGGTGTCTTTGAAAACAAATAAGCGAGCTTCCAAACCCCCTTTGTCGCTGAGTCGTCTGTGAGGTCTCGAGCCGAAAAAAATACAAGCCGCTCGTACCATCCGAGTCGTTGGACGAGTTTGACTGAACACCAGTCACCTTCGACAGTCATGGTTCTTGGATGTTTTTTTAGCGGGGGTAGGCATGGGTAGGCCGAGAAGAGGTGAGGTAGGAAGTAGCTAGGTAGTAGGTAGCTAGTAGAAGCTAGGGAGTCGCTTGTAGCTTAAGTATAGCTACTAGCATGGACGCAGGATAGCTCACACTCGCACTAATGATATGGTTCTTAAGTTTTTAGGGAAACTTAACTAATCAATTTTCAGATGGAATATGGAATGGATGGTCTACCTTCCCAAGTTTTAAGATGTTTTAAGCTTTTTGTATATCCTCACAACTGGCTGTGTGGGGCATCAACTGAGGTGCCGTCACCGATCGGCCAAGTGCGCTCACGGCTCTCCATTCTCCAGCCCTCCTGACCCATCGTGTGCCGCCCAGCCTTTCAGTCAGCTGGGCCCCCAGGGTCTTGACCGACCTGGCCATCCGGCCGATGGAATGTGACACGACCGATGGCCGGATGCTCGAGATCATCGGTTCTTGGGCAATCTGGAAAAACATGTTTAAAACAGGTTAAAGCCATCATTGCCTGGGGTGCATTTAAGAGAGTCGAAAGTCATTTGCCTTTGGGAGGCATTTTTGCAAAACTTCACACAAGTTGACTTCCCAGCACTTGGAGTGCAATGTGGTCACTGTTAATTAAAGTCTCCGTGGGAGATAAACTTGGAAGTTCCAGTTGGGAACCTTCCCACGTCCACCACTGCTGAAAGCCAAAAGACTCATTGCAAGCCATTTTGGGTAAAAAATGATGGACTCCATTCAATGCCGGACGTGTATTTAAAGGAATTACTGAGCTCAGTAAGGGGAGGGCATATTTGCCCCTATCCTTACTGAGGTCGGTAGCGCTACTGACCTCAGTAAGGGGAGGGCCTGTTCTGCCCTATCCTTACTGAGTCGTGCCTTAAATGCAGTCGAAATGGGAAAAAAATATCGATGAATTTCACAAAAAACTGTCTCAAGTCACCCTATAAGTGACCACGTTCAATGAGCTGAGTGGGTAGCTCGTAGTGGGACCGAAGATGAGTCAACATGTCATGTCTAAAGGTTGAAATGACTTGCAGCTCTTAAGTCAATTGTATTAAGTTGGTGGACCTGGAAGCAAGCAGGGGCACTGGAATTGCAAAGTGACTGTTGAACTTTGTTAAATGCGGGCCAGTTGAAGAGGACAGTCAAGTTGGAACACCCATCAGCCGCCGTTCATGCATGTTCACCTTTCAGCCGCCGCTCCGAACATCACATCTCTGGGGTTCTATCGTGGAGGAGCACCCAAAAACCATCAAGAACACCTGGCGAAGACCCACATCCTGAGCTTCAGGTCGACATTCACGGCCAAAAGAAAGGCATGCACAACAGTAAAACCGGATTCCTTTCAAATCTCTTCACCCAAAAAGGGCGGTCGCTTCCAAACAGGCCATGCCAATGACCGTCATCCAAAAAGGATCCCAAAGGCATGAAGCGACCTGGACCAATCCGTTGCTGAAGAGACCAGCTCCGCTCCCCAGCGAATCCCCCGCGAATCCCGCGGCGTTTCGGCGTGGCGTTGAAACCCCGCCGCACCCCGCGGCCGCACGGGCCACGGATGTGGCGATCTCCTGTCGATCGGTGGAAACCAACGGTGCACCCAGGCGTCCTCGGTGTTTGGGAATCGCTGTCCTCAGTGTGGGGGTGTGGAGGAATTCCCATCCAAAATGATACAAACGGTACAAGTTGATGGAACATTGAAACATCAAAGATGTAAGGATGTTCAAGCAATCTCCGGAACGGACTTGTCTCACAATGATGGGATGCTTCAGTTGCTTCTTCTGTCTTCTGTTTCATCATGTCGACATGCTTCGAAGGGTCGCGATTGCTCCACGGCAACGAGTCGATACCGCTCTCATGAGTCTCTCATGAAAAATCATCTGAGTCGGAAGCTTGTAGGACTACTGTAAGTCTTCTCAGTCTTGTCATGAAAGTCGTCCTTTGACACCCAGAGGTACCATTTGACACGCCCGCGGGACCGTCTCCTTATCCAGGGTGGTGTTGGAATTGCGGGACCTCAGTCTGGGCGCCGACTCCGTCACGCGTGTCGTCCGCCGAAAGGAAGCGTGTCATGTCGTCATTCGAAGAGAGATCCGGACTTCAAGTAGATTCAAGCAACACCTTTACAACACATGAGCGAACCTACATCGAAAGACCCCTCCAAGAGTAAACTCTTACATGAACAGTTTTGTGCATGAACACAGTCCACTTCTGATAGTCTGATAGTCCTACCGAGTCACGTTACGTGTTTGTTTTTCTTAGGCGGACTGTTTTGAAAAACCATGGATGAGGGTCTTGAAGTCGGTCATAGACAACCGAAAAGAGATCCTTAAGGAATCCTTGATTCAATGATACAATCAACCGAACCCTCCTGACGACAGGCCCAATCTATTTCCTGATCAACAGAGGTCTGTGAACTGCTGCCATTCGCCAGCTGAGACCACTCACTTGTATGCTTCAGCCAGGATTGCAAGGACCTGAGCTGCAACACGCCCGGCAGGCCGGGCAGAAGAAGGGCAGTTGTCTCCACACTACCGGTTCAACCAGCGTCTGCCCCAAACCCGGAAACGAAGACAACATAACCCGACACTCCATGTGTGCCATATATGCCTACATTGGGGCGGTTTTGGGGGTCAATGTAGGCATATATGGCATACATGGAGCGTCTGGGTAAAAAAAATATCATAAAACAAGTTCTCTTTTTTTGGAGGGGGGGTCATTGAAGGTCGGTTTCAGCCCACAAAATTCAAAATCTCAAGACGGTCGACCCGACAGAAAGCGACAGCCCCCCAGTCCTTCAAGGTCTTTACGGTTTTCACTCACCTCTAAATATCCACTCCTTGTCACTTCTTCACTGTCCAAACTCGGCAATCCACTTGCCCAAACTCGACAAACAAAAACGAGAAAAAAGAAACACAGAGCGACTGAGCACCAGCGCTTTCGGCTGCTGCTCGGGCGCGGTCACCACCGGATGGTTTTTCACCACCAGCTGCAACAGCTGGGAACAGGCCTCCACCATCGACATGAACCGGGCCAACGACCCTTCGGAACCCCTGACGCGGCTTCCTTTTTCTTCATGTGTCTTCACATCTGGTTGTTTCGTTTGGATGTTGGACCACCTCGAGATCGCAAGATTGGCTGAGACTCGGTTCCCAGTTTCAGGTTTCCAGCCTTGCCTCCAGCCTTCTTCCAGGAACCGGAAGTCCCAAGGATCGTGTTCTATTTTTGCCGGAGCCTTTCAGATACATCCCCCTTCAGTTGACTTACCTCGGACACCTGCTCAGCTCATCCGGGCAAAAAAGAGCCACAAAAGCCCAAGAACTCCTTGGCGCCGGCGTCCCGATCGCAGCGAGGTGGCATGTGAGACCTGAGGGCAAGTCTCGGCCTCCAAAAAGCATTCGCATTCTTCGGGTGATTCTGAGAATTTCCAGAATTTCCAGATCAAAGAAGCCGTTTCCGGGGCGACGAGCTGTCTGAAAAGAGTACCCTGACTGACCATCTCATGTATCGACCCCTTCCCCAAAAGCGCAATGAGTTGGATCCTCCGGTAAATCAGGACATTCGTCATGGACAGCTACTCCTAGTGGTGGTCACCTATGACATGTCTATAGAAGTAGCCTGAAAGTTCTCATCTCAGTGATAACAAATGCCTTGTAGCTAGCTGTGCTTTCCGTGGATTTGTGGCGCCTCTAAAGACTTCCACCGTTGCCAGAGTTTATCGATGATCGCTGGGTGATCTGACGATATTGGTTACGGCCAACCTTACAAACGTCTGCGCCACGTAAAGTAAGCCGTTCTGACAAAAAACACCAAATGTATTTCAGAGCGCTGGGCTGCGGCCTGGGTCTGTTGGCAGTTTCTGGTCACAATTTCGCCAGATTCTGCAAATCACCAGAACAGAAGAGGAAAAGCTGTCCTGGCATGAGTCCGAATTTTCCAGTAATTCTCGATCCATCCCATGAGGAGATCGATTCTGAAAATTCTCGGGATTTCGACCGTGTGGCGTCGACGAACGTTACTGGTGTCGACGACAGTCACTTGTCGTTGAGGGCTGCCACTCCTGGGAGCTCCTTGCCCTCAAGCAGCTCCAAAGACGCACCGCCACCCGTACTGCAGTGGGTGACCTAACGAACCAAACGGACCAATTCTGCGAATACTCATTGGCAATTAGTTGATTCTGAATCAAGAAATGATGTTTATTTCCTCAAAAGGAAGAGAACAGTGGTGAAATCCTTATTAAGCGATCCATCATATGAAACAACTAATAACTAATAACAATACATATAAGCATTTTTTGATCATAGACACCCCTCCCACCTCTCCCCGCCTTGTCTTCAGTGCCATACTTCTTGCAGGCTGTCGCGGTATCTCCGCCGCCGATCACCGTGACGGTGCCCGCGCCCGTGGCCTCGACAACGGCGTCCATGAGCTTCTTGGTGCCCGTCTCGAACTTGGACATTTCGAAGACGCCCATGGGGCCGTTCCTAGGAGCGATCGGACGCTACGAACGGGGCTGCTGGCCTTACTACTAGGAACAAGAACGCTACTAGGAGCTTTTTCGAAGACGCCCGTGGGGCTGTTCCTTGAGGAAATGGCCGTTGGTGTGGAGGAAAGGGACGTTTGTTTTCCAATGTTTTCCATGTGTCATGGAGTACTCTTTAGCAACTTCAGGCCGAAAACGGTGACCATTCCAGGAATACTGTTGGTATCCACAGGAATGTGGATGAGGGAGGTGAAATATGAGAGATCCGCTGAAACAGTATCTTTCTTTTCTAAAAGAAGCGGTTCCTTTGAAAAGTTGACACCAATTTCGTTGATTGGCACGGAGCCAGCTTTCGAGAACTGAAAGATTCATTTTGTGTTTACAGCTTCGCTGTTCAGGACCTATAAAGGGTCCCCCGACCAAAGGCCACAACATGTCTGAGGTCCCAAGCCCTCGCAGAAACAGTGACATGACAAGTTGGATTTGGTTCTGTTCACTGTGACCAGCAGTGGTTTCTCGCTCCTACTCGGCAAATCGGGTGGACCAGCCAGAAAGATCGAAGTTATATAATGGAGTCGAGTAAGTTTGCAAACCCACTTCTTTATTTAGAGCAGATCAAATAAATGGACTGAGAAGGACATGTGGATGTTTCATTCATCAGAGCGGAAAGAAAACATCTGAACTTCATGCGTTCCCTACCGCGAGGCGATGTCCAACAATCACTTCAGAAAAGAATGATCAGGTCGACAAAGCAAAACAGTATATCTAGGCCCATGGTAGGCTCCAAATGATGGTCTTGCTCTCTTTGACGGCTGCGGCATTCTCCTCGATGGACTTGGGCCCGCAATCCAATCCCATGAAGCCCTCAGGGATCCCGGTCTCCTTGGTCACGCCTTCTTTGATCTCCCCATCCTCTCCAAACTTGGAGCTGCACGTGAAATCCACCGGCAGGATGATCTTCACACCTCTCATCTCAGCCAAAAGACGTCATGGTATGCCATGGACGGAGGACTGGTGGGGATTCAAAATGCGACATGGATATAGATGGCTCGCCCAGCAAAATAGAGTAGTAGAAGCCATGATCGACTAAACAAGACTAATTAGAGGGATGTTGTTCACATCCATGAACATCCATGAACATCCATTGCATGCCGCCTCATGGATTCCTCATTCCGTCTCAGTTCTCGAAACCCCCCCCGCCTAGCTTCTCAGCCTTGGCCAGGATCTCTGGCACGATCTTGGCACCTTCCTCATCATAGAGGGAGCTACCAATGCTCATGCCATCCTTGATCTTCAAGAAAGTGTACGCCATACCACCACCGATGATCATCATGTTCACCTTGTCCAACATATTCATAATCAGCTGAATCTTGTCGCTGACCTTGGCACCACCTAGGATCGCCAGGACTGGCTTTGCGGGTGACTCTAAGACCTTGGCAAAGGCACTGAGCTCTTTGCCCATCAAATCCCCAGCGCATTTCACCTCAAAGCCCTCACCCACCATGGAGCTGTGGGCACGGTGTGCGGTGCCAAAGGCATCGTTGCAGTAGACATCGGCCAGCTTTCGAATGGAGGCACGGAAAGCTGCAACCTTCTCCTTGTCGGCCTTGATCTTGTTGCCCTCCGCATCAACACCTCTTTTTGTTCAAAACAAAGGTAGAGCTTGGACTTGTGAACGCTTTTCTGAACCGCTAGACATCACTATACTAGAACCCTGTTGGTCCTTTACGTTGATGAATGCTAAGTAATGACTAGTGAAAGCAACCAAACAATCAAAACCAGTCCCCCGAACAAAACAGAATCAAGCAATCAGAATAGACTTGAAGCCGCAAGACCGTTGCTCTCCGGACGTCTATGAACGATCGATGGAAATCATTCGTGTTGACTTCGACTTGATTAGACTTCCACAACCCCCACCAAGAATACACCTTACAAAACCACCCCGATTGTACACCTACACGTCTTCCAAGTCGCCTTTGCCCTCCTCTTCCACATGGAAACGCAAGTTCTCCAGCAAGATCACGCTGCCAGGCGCCGGATCCGCGCAGGCGGCCTCCACCTCTCAGGAGCCCGTGGAGAAGATCAGCATCCCACGGCATCCATGGACATCCATGGATATCAATGTGTATATATTATATATGCATAGTATAATATATATATATATTATATGTATCAATGGTTATGATGCGGGACCCCGGGAGATGTACTTGGTGTAATGCCTCCAATTCAAAAACGTCTGGACTGTAAACATGGGTTTGCATTTCAAGAACTATACTCCCAACCAATGGGTTTTGTCCGTTGTTGATTTTCCTAGAAGTTCTTGGAGGGGTCTCCCTATTCCAAACCACACCCATATGGACCATAATATATGGAGTTTTGGTTGTTATTTCTTGATGCAGGTGATCTATCTGGAAGCTGGGACCACTCTGAAAGAATCTGAAGACCTCGAAGGCTGCACTTTCTGCTTCAACACTTCTATCTGTGACCGTGTGTGTGCTAGGAAATGTCTTCAACTGTTGCCAACATATGCAACACTACAATTCCGATGCAACAACATACTGATTTTATAGCGCGACTTGCGGACTCATGTCAGTCGCCGGATTGGCAGTGAACATGCTGGTGAATTACAGATCAAACATAAACAGGTCGAAGGATGGTCAAAGGTTGTGTCCAATTTAAAGCCTCCACCATTCACTTCAACCCTAAAAGGACCACGGCGAAAGAACCCTTCACCGCTGTCCCCGCCAGGCAAGTTCCCCCAGCCTCGGGACCCACACAGTCCTGGCAGAAGGTCACGGGCTTCGCCAGCTTCTCCTCAAGTCTTGTCCCGAAGGCCACGGGCTTCAGCTGTGTATTGAAATAAAGGGAGAGACGGAACCAAAGACTCCCTTGGAAGGAAATAGACCGAAAAACCATTAGGTTGGGCCCAGTGAGGTTCAATACCAACCTTCGACCAGTCGCAAACCATCCAAAACCCATTGGTTGGAAGGTCCCCCTATAGGATCCTATAGGTCTAAGATACCAAAAGTTGGTAGATCCCATTGGTTGGGCCATTGCTTGGAAGGTCCCCCTATTGGTCAAACCTATGGTTTTCCAGGTCTCCCTATTGGTCTCATCGATCCCAAGCTCCGAGTCCCGAGGAGAAGCGAACCTCGAGGCGTGGAACCCATCGACCGGCGTCGCGGCAGCACGGGCAGCACGGGCGTTGTTCGTTGGGTTCGTTGATGCCAGTGGTGAGACCTGCTGAAACTAGGGATGTGGCCCGGCTCAAAACTGCTCAAAGTGAAGGATTAATGGTAGTCCCCCATGTGTAAGGTCAAAGAAATTCTAACGACAAATGGAAACCAAAAGAAATGACCTGCTGATGCTTCAGTGACATCATCAACTGTCAACTGGCCGATTCCCTGCATGACTTCCAAACACATGACTAATTATAGAAACATAATGAAACATATTTATATATGAGAAACTGCTGCTCCAACTGGTCCGTTTTGTAGGTCATGCCTACTTTTTTAACGTGGGATCAAAAAGGCTTGGGGTCCGAGCCACACCCCAACGCAGAAACGCTGGAGCCCAAGAGTCTGATCCCGCAAAAGCCAAATGAACACTGCTATCCATTGCATTCCATTACCACTTGAGAGGGTAGTAGATGTTAGTATAGGTACATGTATTGTACAAACATTGACTTTAACATACTTTATCAACATGTCATAACCATAACATCTATATTATATGCAAATATATACAACATCTTATCTTATGACCGCCATGGAATTCTCCGGTCCTTCCACACCTTCTCTTCCACCCTCGACCCTCGGTCCTCCAGGATCTTCGCCACCGGAGCCATGGAGAACTTGGGCACCACGGAACCGTCGGGACGTCCCAGATGGGAGGCTAAGACCACTGCCTTGGCACCCTTCTCCAAGACCTTCCTGGGACATGAGGGGGTGACATGGGGCGACATGGGGTTGGGGTATGAAAGATATATAAAATCGGTGTTGGGAACCAAATTAAGTGTAAAGGAGAGGGGTGATGCGGTGGTTTTGGTGTTGAGATGGAGATTCCAGTGTTATGGGTCTGGTGAGGACTTGTGAGGTTTTGGAGATTGACATCTATAGTGATCCCCAAATAGATAGATGCGGTGTCCAATACATTTTTAGGGGGATCTACTTTTCTATCTATTTGGGGGTCTATATAGTAGACCTTGGGGGTTGGGCATTTAGGCATTCAAACCGGGGCACAACCTTTTGGGGGTCTTGGCCAAGTTGACAATCCTTAAGAAGCAGTTTTTCTATGGTCTTTCGGTTGATGGACCTACCGATTTCTCCAAGCCAAGCGTCTTGATGGTGGGCAAGGCACCATCAATACGTTGAGTGTTGGTGATCTTCGTGGGGTCAGCCTTGTCCTGTGGCACATTGAAGTCAACGCGCATGAAGATTCGCTTTCCGGCCACGTCAACATCGTCAATCGTCAACTTAGGCATCTCGAACGAGAAGGTGTCAGGACAACAGCGACAGTGGTGCTTTGCGATGGCGGGCTTGAGCCACAAGTCAAGCGTTGCAAACGTGGCAGTGCTTTGCCTCCAGCCCAGTGCAGGAAGGCTGAAGATCTATGAAGATCAAACCTCTGGAAACACTATCAGAATGTACATTGGATAGGTCCGTTTCATGAACGATAGTCCAAATTCATGTAGAAATCTGAGCTTGGAGCAACCACATCTTCCATGCACTGGTGGAGTCACCTCCCACGTTCCGCTCCTGGCAAGCCAAACACGTTCCTCTTCCGGAATAAATAGAACTCTGAGCTTGATCCAACATCCTACTCTACCCCACTATACGCACTAAGTACCAGTCTGTGCATGATCATGCAACAAGAATCCATCGTTACATAACCATACATAACCTGTCTTGCTCCTAAAGAAAAGGACCCATGTGTCGACAAACACAAGGAGAGGTGCCTCCATTGGGAACGCACCACATGGGCATCCCTGAGTAGAACAACGTCTTTTGGAGAGGTAGCTCATGAGGCTCATGAGCTTCTCAAAAGCCGAATCCATGAGCTTCTCACATCCATCTTCGTGTGCTGACCCAGACCCAAACGCTTCAAATGGACCCAAACGCTTCAAAGGCGACGCAAACGGTGTCTTTAAGGTGAAAAAGGGTACCATGTTCAGTGTCTTTGTCGTCAGGTCGGCAGATAGCGCCTGATGTTCGCAGATCATGCCCAGTGCCCAGATGGAGCTATCCACCGCTATGGCCACTTGCTTGCCCTGCGGAGTCTGACAAAACACCAGAAAGATATACGGCTTGACTATCGGCTTTACTTTTTTCGGTGTGCTTTTGCAGTGCTTGGAACAAAGCCGGTGGCTTTTTGGTGCTGTTGGACTCCTTTCAGAAAGACTGCGCATGCCTCCAGGCTGCTGCAATCAGTTTTATGATCATGAAATAACATTAATGAAAGAAACGTCTGGGAAATGAATAGCGAAAGAAGCGGCCTCAGCATTTGTAGCTCGACGCCTCTTATGCCTCGCCCAGAGGCATAAAAGAAACTCACAAATCAGTCGGTGGATACCAGTGGTAGCTACGTAGTGTTGACTCTGTGGAAAAACGCTGGAGAGCGCTAGTCGCTAGAGATTTGTCAACGCATCTCCACATGGGGGCTGAATCCACAACCAGAGTATGTCAACATTGCGTTTCTACTTGTGCATCTCTTCCAGTGCACCACAGGAATGATCAAGTACTGCTCAAACCTTGATGACGTCTCGATGCCGGGCAACACAAGTCAAAGGGGCCAGTGCGATTGAGCATGTAGCTGTTAGCCCTCTCCCTTGATCCCTCAACGGTCCAAACGTTTTCCCTAAAGAATAACAAAAATAGTGAACCCGTTGGGGACGTCCCATTCATGCAAAGATAAATGACTTTCAGCTGGATGTCGGTAGAAAAAGCGCGCCTCTCACCGTGCCTTTGCAGCACACGAGCCAATTGCGAGGCAACCATGGGAGCAATCTGGGCCTGAGACAACATTCGGCATCCAGTGCCAATCCAAGCACACAACCGTCATACGTGGTCAAACATCATCTAGACAGCGGGTCCCTGTCCCTCATGAGTGATACTACCAGTGATCTACTTCGAAAAGCCGTGGTCAGCAAGCACTCGATTCTTGGCATGCTGGCCCAGTGGTCTCGCTGTGGAGTCTTGCGGGGCAACAGGTTCCAAACTAGGTTCCAACATCCAGGGGCGAGGCCGGTCATGAAACACACATTCATCATGCACCGAACTCAAATTCATGTGTCGGGCAGCTTTGGAACACAGGAGGCAACAACTCAAAATTCCCCTGTCTGCCACCACACATCCCCGCTCCAAATCAACCCCTTGTGGCAATCCCTGCTGAACACATCAAAGAAAACGGATCAGCTTGCCTACCAAACACCAAGGCGTATGGATGCTTATGGCTTATGGAGACCTCAGAAGGTCCACTCTTGTCGTCGTATCCCCTCTTCCATCGCTCTTTCCCTCTAACAATGAGAATCATCCTCTACCGCGACCCAGGAGACCTCCGCTTCTTCACCTCCTCCACCGCTGAACACCTCCGGTACCAAGGTGAACTACCGGGTCCACCGGGCAAAGATCGGCACTTTGGCACCATAGCCCACCACATTGGCCGCATGACTCGGCACACGGACGAGACGGACCGCGGACGGTGGAGGAGACGACCGGGTTGGGCTTCCAGGAATGGTCGGTTGTTTGCTCCAATCCAAGAGTCAACTCTTTCTGTGGGGGACACCGGACAGGTTGCGGTAGAACGGCCAAGATGGTTGGGGACCGACTATGGCAATGGTGAAGGGTCGGTCCTTGGACATCTCATCAGACTAAGACGGACGCGCGTTGAGCATAGTTGAGCTAGATCACTGCAGCAGCATGAAAGTCATGGAAGTACCAAATTTGAAGCCAGACCACATCAAGCTGTGACAAGCCAAGGACAAATCATAACAAAAGGAACCCTTGCCCGCTGTCTGCAAGTGCTTGATGATGGTTGATATATCTGCTACGCTAACTCCAGTAAGCACATCTACCTGCTCGCGGTTGATCCTTTTGCTTGCGCAGTGGGTCTGCTCTTGTCAAACATGTATTGTTTGTCTCTGGCTTTGTGTATCCAACAATGTCCAAGAAACATCAAGATGCAATGCAGATGCGTTAAGAGCAACCCTTGCAGGGTGAAACGAGACTAATGGCTCTTTCTTGCGGTCGTCTTCATGTCAGGCGTTCAAGCCTTCACTTTCCTTAGCTTTTGTCAGAAGTTCGGTTGATCACAAACTGTTTCAGGGGATATTCCGATCCTCGGAGATATACCGCCAGCAACAAACCCGACAAGGTACGAAATGCAAACATCTGCGGTACTTCGGTCCAATAAAACATTCAACGACAGCCAATAACAACACAAGAGCTTGCCGATGGATGTTCATACCTATCGGAATTAAATTGTATCAAGAAGTATCCAACCCGCACCCATCCGTTTCTCAGGGCTCCAAGATCGAGAGAAGTCCTTGCTCATGTCTTTGGATTCATCCCAGTATTCTATATATATATCCAGTGTGTAATATACACTCCCTAAAATCTAGAACTAACATGGAAGTAGAAAACCACCTGTTTGTAGTGGAAAATTGTCTTCCAAGGTGTCATTCTCCACGTAACCATGTTACTTCCAGGGAGTGTAGATCAAACGTAGATCAAACCCATCTCTCCTCTTCACCGACCTCGCCTCTAGGCCTGCGCCTCCGCCTGCGCGAAAGCAAATGAAAGCCTTTAGCCTCTGAGTGTCAATTTGCTCTGGAGCAAATGTTCGATCCTCTCCGTCAACTGGAGCTCGTCCGTCGAAGCTCTCTTCGTCGGTGCTTGGAGTTGCTGGAAGAAGCTCTGAACTTGCCGACCGTCCTGCTCATCCTGGTGGAAGCAGGAAGCTCGGCTCTTCGAAACATGGAGTAGCGGTTTCCTAGACATGCGATACCTGGAAAGTATATCAAGCTGCTAAAAGGTGTTTCTTGCGTAACATGAAATCAGTATCTGCAGTCTAAGTCTAGAGTCAAGAGATCTGATCAGTCAAGATGGGTTCACTCCACCTCAATGACCCGGAGCCCGAGCCCCACATCGAGGACATGCGAGGACCTCGAAGAGGTGTTTCGTTTGAGGAATCAAATCACCGCCCTATCACGCTTTGAAGGCCCTTCCCAAGCTGGCGAAGCTGTGTGAGTGAGGAGGAACCCACTGCAAAGTTGTTCTTATTTGGCCCCACAAGTCATGCTGCCTCATCCTGGTCTTCGTGTTTTGAGCCTGTGATTGTCGACCAGGAAGAATCCTGTGATGGTCGACCCTCACTTCTCCAAGTTCTAATTCTATCTCACATCTCCAACGCCATCTCTGCCTGTCCTGCACAACATCTGCTGCCTCTGGAATCGACTCAATGCCTTGCAGAACGGAGGGCGCTGGAGGAAGGCGAGAGGTGAAGCCGAAGGCGACGGAAGGTTCGACGGATGACATGGAAGGAACCGGCTGATAGAAAAGGGTGGATGGAGGAGGATGGGAGGGACTGAAACTGAGAAACAGCATGAACAAACTTTGTGGAAATTCACTTTCAGATCTCACATCACCTGTTTGCCTGCTGCATTGCTCATCCCTGAGGGACCTTCCAAACTGCCCAGTCACCACTCCAATCCACCCGCAAGCTCGTCCAGCCTGAGTCATTCTCGCCCATCACCATCCGGAAGAAACCTCTTTCACCCCAGTCCTGCTTGGAAGGACCCGGAAGGATAATAAAGTAAGGATGAATGCAGAGGACAATGTCGGGCGTCCGGTCTACTGCCCTTCAGCCATCTAAGCATGTTGCTTCCCGTACCCTTTGTTAGTCCGGAAGCCCAACAACTCAGGCAGGGGACTCCGGTGTGGACTACCGGGGGGGGCCTGCAGTACACCTGCTCACGAAAGGATGCATCTGCAAAGACGGTTCTGTCTTCTGTCCTCACCCCAGCTGTTCTGAAGCTTCCAATACTTCCTTCCATTCTCCTTGCAAAAGCGTGTCCATCCAATCACTAGCATGCCCAAAACACAAAACAAGCATGCAACGTGCGATTGTCCCAATGTGCAAGCAACTTTGAGCTGCAAGAATCGACATGCCATGCCAGGTTCCCCCAAAAAAAGACAAGCCCGTACGGCCCTTCTGCACATCGGATAGATCATAGATCTGTGAGCGTACGGCCCTTCCCTCATAAGCACAAGGCGGCCTTGCATATTTCATCTTGCGATGTTTGCTCATATGATTCTTCAAGCAAGGCCATGCATGGCTCGGCGGCTACGGATCTCTCCTCTCCGTAGCCCACCAGCAAGACCGCATGGTCCACGCGCTCCCATTCGAAGCTGCTGGTCGAATGCATCAGATCACTCGAGCTGGGAGAACGATAGATGCCCTCAGAGTACCACATGAAGTCCTCCAGAGCAGGAAAAACATTCAGAAAAACACTCAACCATCTGGATCCATCTGGGTGTCCTGTCATTGGGGTCAGGCATCCAAATAGGTCATCGGGTGTAGGATGTAGACAGGCAAGCCGTTAACTTCCCTTTGTGCCATGAAACCTGCGGTGGAGGCCAAGGGACTTCAAGGCTTGCAGGTACAAAACAAAACAAGACGACACACAAGATGGCCGTGGATCTCATGGATCTCGTGGATCTCATGGATCTCCTCGAAAACTGAACATGAAAAAGAGTTAATAGATTTTAAAAGGATACTAATGTAGACTCTTGATTAATAAGGCCCCCCGATTTGAATTGGACATATGGGGGGTTTATTAATCAAGAGTTCTAGAGTCTACATGGGCCATGGGCTGATCTGATCTTACTATAGGCCGATCTGATCTTACTATAGGCCGGGCCCTGGCGAATACACGCGTGCCGCGTGATGCAACCCCAAGCAAACCATCTACCCATTGTATCCCACTTGTGTCACTTGAGTCACTTGAGCATGCCTCTTCAAAATAGGAATTCACCATTTCAATACTGTATATATATTATATTAAATGTCACTCATACAATCCCGAACCTAATAGCATCACCAACACTCTGGAGATATTGGAGATTAATCATGTCCATCATGTTACAAGTTGTATTTTCCCACCCACTACACAACACCTCTCACTTCCAACCCCTCTCCGTCACGGGGTTAGCTAGGCCGGGGATGTTCGGGAACCGCCGTGGAACCGTTCCGCCGGTCCTCCGTAGGTTCCAGGCCCAGGATCAAAGGCCCATTGTGGTACAACTCCGCCTGCGACCGGTGGCGACAAACGACATGGGAGCAGCATGGCGGTGTCACGCGGGGAGACGACACGGTGGCTTTCGTTGGTGGCGTCCTTGTCCCCCCACTCTCACCCTGGACATCCTTGGACAAACCACATTTAGAGCGTCTCAGTCGCAGGGAGACATGCGACAGTCGCATGAATTCCATTCGGAACACACGTGCAACGGATTCCCAAGGCGCGATAGAATACAAAACAAACATAGGAGCAGAAAGCGTCAAGTAGAGTAGAGGACACGATCTTCGCAACCAACATTATCCAACAAAATCTGAGTCAATCTGTATCACCAGTTTCTCTTGCGAGAGTGAACTGTGTACAAGTATGTGGTTCTGGTTCAGTGCGCCGTCCTGGTCCGAGAATGGCATGTCAAAGTATTCCAACATCTTTTGACATACGACGAATGGAAACATCCATGACGAATGGACCATGAATCCAATGTGATTGTGGATCGTGCCACGACCATGTACATCATGTACCACATATATGGCCCTACCTTATCCTGATGGTCTGTGCACCACGTGGACGGGCGTAGACGAAAAATCACATGCGTAGTGCCATAATGGCACGGGGTGATGAAGAGTCGATTGAAAACTGATCATGAAGCGTCGATCCCAAATCCAAGTATAGCTCAATTTGGCCTAGCTGGCAAATGAGGATGGACGGCCATTTTTGAGACACACCCGTCCGTACGCCCCCCGACGCCATCCATGGACGGCCTTGATCTCCTCGACCTTGTCGCCATGCTCTCCATACCAGGAGCCCACATAGCGATGATTGTCGGCCCGGTAGCGCTTGCCTTGGAGCTCCTGGAGTGCAGACTGGGTGACGTCGTGACTCGTGGAATCTGGTATGAACACACAGCATTAGATTATATTATATAGATCAGAGGGGCTTGCAAAAATGACTCTCACTTTTTTTTGACTCTCAGTTTTCTTGTTTCTGACGCTAATGATATTGATACTAAAGAAGAGGGGGAGGAAAAAGATGAAGATGCTCTCAGTTTTCCTATTCACCTTTGATTTGGATGCTAAAGCAGAAGGGGAGGAAGAAGAAGATTTCTGAACTTATGATTCATAATATTGTTAAACAGTTGAGTCTGAACTTGAGGACACATTAAAAAAATTAAGTGAGTCTTGTGGACCGTCAAGTCTGAATGGCATCATGTATGTATAAGCGAGTCTCTCTTGGAGAATATGCTTTGGACAGATAATCTAAATTTGAAGGTAATAAGTGATTCATGTAACTGACTATTTTGAACGGTTGAGTCTGAATGCTGCATTATGAATTAAAAGATGGTCTAGGGCGGGGGGAGGGGGGGTAAGGTGCCCAACACCCCAAAACACAACATCCAAGAACAACTGAAGTGTCCTTATAATATGTCAGGATGTCTAGAATCACTCTAGGGTTGGTAACATGATGTATTATTACTAAATGTCACATATCACATCTCTGCAAAGAAAAAAGCGTCCGATACTTGAGTTTATCAAGTATCTGGATGTGACCTGCAGGTTGTCCTCCGAAAACTTGCAGTATAATCGGAGGTTTTACATAAAAGGTGTTGGGGGGTTGAACCTGCTGAACCTGCGGGGCGGAGCCTTGGAAGATCCTGGATCTGCTGGTGGGAAGGTGGGAGGATGGGAGGGTGGTCCAAATTCATGCCATCAACTTCAAGCTCAATGCTTGGGCCGTACATCTGGCATGTTTGGATGTTGCAGAGCACTTCAATGACCTATCACTTACCGTAGCTTTTCTTATTGCCGTTGCCAGCCAGGTTGGGTTCTACCCTCAGAGTGACAGTTGCATCTTCACATCAACTCATGACTCAATCCTTTATTCTAGTCAGACTGACACTCAGATTCGGTTTCTCTTCCTGTTCAGATTCACAGTCACTCCTTGTCACATTCATATTCAAATTCCGGATTCAGCGTAGGATTCTTGATGGAGCTCATTTCCAAGGAATGGACGCTTGTCTTTTCGCACTTCAATATCTTCGAAGTGCACCCGGCGCGTTTGGAAGTTCTGAAGTTTATGATATGAGCGAATGCACCTGGATTTGTGATTGGCTTACTATATCTGCAGCGGTCTTAGCTCTTTCAATCAGCCATAAGACCTTCACCATCCATCACCACTTCTGAGCAATGGTGCGCCATTCCACCACTTCTGAGCGGTATGAGCACAAGTGGAAGACACATGTTGCGGGCGGCTACAAGTGCCTCGGTTCAAATTTTGAGCAGCACGTGTTTCCAGGCCCGATGGCCATGCCAAAACCGCTCAGGCTCCAACATTTGAGATGGGAGGGGGACGAAGTGACGGAAATCTGGACGAGGGACTTTGAGAACAAGGGCCAGCAGATCCAGGGCCTGAAGATCCAGCCGAAAGTTGAAATAAAAAAGATGCCGGTGGAACCGGAGGGGAAGAAGGCCATGAAGGCCATGAAGGCGATGAAGGCCATGAAGGAGACGAACGCAATGAAGGCGAAGAAGACAATGAAGGCCAAGACGGCCAAGAAGTAGATACGGCCAAGAAGGTGCGAAAAAGGTGTCAGACAACCATCTGCCGAGCCAACTTGAATGAAATTGAGTATCCATCTAGACCCAATCAATGTCGAATTCAAAGCTTTCATCCGCCAAGCTTATCGTGTTTTGCAAGCATGACAGGTGCTGGTGCAGACAGAAGGCAAGGCAGACAAGTGTCAAAAATGGGTTCTTGATCCATTGGGAATCCGAGTTTGACAAATGATACACACATGTCCCACGTGGTTTGAATCTGAAACAATGCGCAAATGTCATGTGACAGTGTGTCCATTGCTTTTGGCAAGGCTTTCAACCAACAAATCGTTGACGTTGGCAGGTCAAATCGTTGTCGAGCACGCGCACTTCGAGGTTGCGCAGGTGGCTCCGGCATGCTTTGAACCAGTCGCAGTTGACAAACCAGTGCAGCGGTTGATTTGGCAAAATTTGGCAACATGTTGACTGAACATTCAGACTCAGAACGATTTCAGACCCGGCCCAAAGTCTGCACAAAGCCAGACTGCACACAACAAGCATAAGCCAGGCCTCCGTCGAAATCGTAAGCCAAATGGCCAGCGCTGACAAGGATGGTGCTTTAACTGCGGCCGACCCTCTGGCCCGTCAGCCAGACCTGCTTGATCAAGGCTAGATCATGGAAGAAGCTTGAGGCCAAGGACGTGCTTGGATGTATTCAGTGGAAGCCTGGGACGTACACCGTGGTCGTTTCGGAAGATGGCACTCCTGTGACTGAGGAGGAGGTTGGGGGTGGCCTCCAATGTGGGAGTTTTCAGTAGGCTTGAGAAAGGCTTAGGCTCGGACCAGGACCAGGAACCTTGTCTTCGTCCCAGCCTTTGCCTTTATCAAGTCGATTGACAGGTGCCACATGACACAGACTAAATGGTCGGCGATATTTTTGCGATTGTAAAATTGTAAATTACTGGCGTCATCTTTTGATTGAGTGTCGGAAAGTTGTTGCCGGCCACCAGGCGTATCATCCGAAGGCTTGGACATACAATTTGTCCATCCAGGGTCCTGGCCGAGATGTGAAGATTAGCGGTACCTTGAAACCTTTGAAGAGGTCCGCAGATGAAGCTGGGCTTCCCCCTGCTAGGCCTTTCACAGTGGTTCGAAGCTGTGACACAATGATGGCCCAGATCCGAGAAGACGCACGACGTTTGGACGAGACGAACCAGGAGGTACAGGCCACTCAGGAGTTCGATACGGTCTTGGATGACTAAAGCCCTACTCAATGACTTGCTGCCGCTTGATGTTCCTGAGATGAAAGGATGCCGGCTTGATCAAGAATCCTAGCATGGCTAGATTTTGTGATGGTCTTGTGGGCCTGGATTTATTCATAAATTGCAGTGGATGGAAAAATGCGCATGCAGCTTGGTTGATGGCAGCGGGCATGTCAACTTCAAACTCATGTTCATGTGACAGCCAATCACATTCAAGCTCATGTGATTTATGCGACAGCGCAATTCAAATTCAAACTCAGTGGCAAACTGTTCCATTTTTAGTTGCGACGAGTTGAATTGCAAAATGAGGTTCACGTTTCCACCTTGCAGCGAATCATGCAGAAATTGGGTTCAGCATCATTTGGAATCAGGTAACGAAGTTCCTGCTGACGTTGAAGGCGAGCAAACGTTCATGTCTTGGAAGGCTTCATCCAAGAACATGCCGAATTTCATTTTCAACGTTCCAACATGCTTTACTGCAAAATCTTGTCACTTGAAAACATTGGGGAGTGAATTTCTGGCACGAAGATTCGTGGGACGGTAAAGATTGAAAGAAATCAGAATCGATGGAATTAAGGAAATCAGAATCAATGTCACATTAGCTTTGAGTTTAGTTTCAACCTTTCACAGCTGGTAGCGAATTCGCTGGGGAAGGATATTGCGTCCACAAGACTGCTGCGTGCGAGCTTTTGGCTTTTCAGGCTGGCCGGCGACTGACTGGGCATTGAACAGTCCAGAAGTTTTGAACTCAACCTTGACCAACAACCTTGCCGCATTCAGAATCAGATAAAGTCAGTGTCAGGCGCTACTTCAAAAAGACTCCCCAGGAAAACGTGACCACAGACAGTAGTAGACTGTTGAAGGGCTAAGTAGACAGTTGCAGACAGAAGTAAACAGTGATCAGGAATCAGGAGGGGACCTTTTGTATTCTGCCACGCTGCCTTGGAGACCTGGTTGGAAGATGATGATGATCCTGTCCCATTTCCCATGTGTCAGAGCCAAGGCCGGGTTTTGAACTTGAAGGGCTTCATTGTGGGTGTGGGCAAAGTTTTTCATCACGTGTGAAACGGCAAAGACTGTCATTGGAGTGCACTTCATTGCAACCATTCAGAGTCATTGTCAACTGGCATTGGAGTCACTGTCACGGTGCATTTGTTTTCAATGCTGCTAAGTTTGAGAATTCATGCCTTGATGCTGCCAGATCATTGTCACCGACCTTTGTCATTGACACAAGTCATCAACTCAGCATTTGAGCTGCTTCTCGGCTGCTGCTGTGGAACCTTTTGATTCTTTCAAGTATTTGTTTGAATACCATTTTCGGTTGTTTCAGGCTGCAATTGGGACGCGGCGGCTGCGCGTCACAGGTTGGAATGTTGGTGTCGCAGGTTACAGTTTCGCAGGTGTCAAAGCCCGCATAAGCCAAGATTATATAGTCATGAGGTTCGTGCGCAATGCGCTGTGATGTCCGTTCACCCCAAAGCTAGTGAAAAAACGAGTGTGACAAAGTCAGGGCAACATGTCCATGGAGCTCCGCCTCGCTGTGTGGCCTTTCTGCTGCAGGGTTTGGAGCCACGCAGTGGGCTGAAGCGACTGCTGCGCCAGGACCGAATGCATGGGCGGATTGGATGCTGCAGCCGAAACAGTCTTTCAGCTATCATGTGACATGGTTTCAAACTCTTATGTGACATGATTTCAAACTCTTTGTTTCAACCTGTGACAGCAACACATGTGAGAAGAAACCGCTGAAACCCCTATGTGCCATGATCTGAAGAAAGCGTGACAGCTCGAGAACTAGGTTTGAGCGCAATCCCTAAGTACAGCTCTTACCTCCGTCCTGCCACTTTCGACTTTGAGCGATGCCAGCTTTCGATGGCGGATGGCCCAACAAAGATGCAGCAATTCGATTCTTACAATCTGTTGCCGGGGAGAGAGCGTGCCCATCGTGCTACTACCCGTACTTGAAGGGTTACCTGACCTCTCCTGAGAGACACAGTGTAAAGGCTACTTCAAAAGATTGCTGGTGTGATCTGTGTGATCGTGAAGGCAAAAAGGAGGTGA